ATCTAGCACTAATTGTATAGTTTTATTGTTGATATTCACCCCATATGTACGAAGTGTTAGATTAGTTTCATTGATATTAAAGAAATTTGTTGGTATTCCTAAACGGAAGATTTTATACACACAGAAGAAGAAGTATACTTAACAACAAATTAATTTTATTTACCTGTGTATAATATGACGCAGGTTTTTTCAAAAGTGATGATTTTCTAAATATTGTTTAACATTTCACAGTGGTATCATACTTTTACTTTGTTTCAACCTGTTTATTTACTTTTGACCTTAGTTATTTATCCCTTATATTTTTTATTAACTATGTATTTGCATTCAGGTATCACAGATCAAAGTTATTCGTTCATTGTGTGTTAATTTACGTTTTTTGATTGAGTTAAGCCTTCCAATTGATATTTTATAGTGTGTCTTTCTATGTTGTGATGTTATACTATTGTTTCAGAAAAAGGGAGAAGGTTTGGTACCATTAAAACGTTTAATCCCGCTGCAAATGTTTGCACATGTCCTAAGTCAGGAATCTGATGTACAGTAGTTGTCGTCTGTTTATGTAGTTCATACGTGTTTCTCGTTTCTCGTTTTAATAGATTAGACCGTTGGTTTTCCCGTTTGAATGGTTTTACACTAGTAATTTTTGGGGCCCTTTATAGCTTGCTGTTCGGTGTGAGCCAATGCTCCGTGTTGAAGGCCGTACCTTGACCTATAATGGTTTACTTTTATAAATTGTTACTTGGATGGAGAGTTGTCTCATTGGCACTCATACCACATCTTCCTATATATATTAACAGTGCAAGGTATATGTATTCAATGATGAAATATCATTGGAATGGATACGTTTAATCCTTAATACATATTCTGGCAGATTATTAAAAAAAAATAGAATTGAATATTTTTAGCAATAAATGCTCTTATTTTTACGGAATTCTTTTTTGTAATTCGTTAGACTTTCACTCACAAAGTAAGAATTATCAAATCCTTTTGACTTTATTTACCAGTAGTTTGTCAGTGAGTCGGCTAAACTAACACTCTATTTTGATGAAAATGAAAACGATTCCTACTGTGAAAATGAAGCGCATATACAATAGAAATGAATCGCCTATACAGTGAAAATAAAGTAGTGTATCATTATTGGACAGTAAACATGAATCACATAACGAAAGCAGCATAGTGGAATTTACCTCAATATCAACAAACTGAATAACAAAACCGGTTTAAAGTTATACAACATTAATGATTATGTTAAAAGGTATATTTTTCTGAAATTAAAACTTTACTATTGCTTTTAAATCTCATGCACGCTCTGTTCGTGAAATATTCTTAATATTTACTTATTTGTGTGACGATTTCACACCTAGATCGATGTATGTGCGATATAAACCGTCTGCATCTCTTACCTGTATCATGAGTTTATTAAAACATTCATTTGATTTTATATAAAATACATGTATTCTAAGCAAAGAGGACGAACAATATCAAAGGGACATTCAAACTCATAAGTGGAAAAAAAAACTAACAATGCCATGGCAAAAAAAAAACAAGAAAAAGACAAACAATAGTACACAAAACACAACATACTAAAATAAAGATTGAGCAACACGAACCTCACAATCAATCGGGGGTGATCTGAGGTGCTCTGGAAGGATAAGCAAATCCTGCTCCATGTGTAGAAACCGACGTGCACCTCGACAATTTTACTTTTAAAAGCAATGTTTTCGTTCCTTAGTTATGTTAATTACATTTATAAAACCTGTGAAATTAGATAACACGCCTTTTCAATAGTTGCTATCATTATTTTCAGAATAAGAGATATTGACCTATCCATAATGTTACCTTATACAGAAAGATAACAGCTTCGAGGTTCTATAAACCGACCAATTTGAAAATGTGCCTTATCAGTCGACCGGTCAAACCTATATAATATACAATGACCACTGCGTTATTTTTGACTATTTTTCTACTTTTCTTTGTTGGAAATGTAAAAAGTTTACTATTGGATAATAATGCCCAATCTGCATTACAACATGACGTTGACGAGTTAAAACAAACAGTTGCTGCATTGAAACAAGAAGTTGAAAAACTGAAACATCCAACAGGTATTTTACAGCGCGTTTAAATTTAGCATTATAAGTACTAATCAGGTTGTGGGGTTCTACTCATTGTCATAAGATTTCACGGTAAGATAGTACGCGACTGTTTTGTCTGTTTTTTTTGTTTTTTTTCATATTAATTGATTAAATTCGTATTTACAGGATTTATATAATTTAACACCAATTTCAGGGCACTTGATTATTTCATGGCGGCCAATTGTTACTATTGGAAACATAACTACCAAGAGAGAACCATGAAATGGCAAACCTAGTCAGTTAAGAATGGTGATATACATGTACGTACCTTGCCGAAGTTGGGTTCCAACTCGCAACCTGAGTGTTGACAGGGTGGCGATCTTTGTAAATGTATTACTCATCTTTAATATATATATATAAAAAAAAGAAACAAGAACAGACGATGCACACACCGAAGCTTAAATAAAGTTCATCAAAAAATACATTTGTTCAGGATTGTGTCTTAAACACTCCTAAGATACCGTCTCGATTTCTTATTATTTATTCCATAATGGAGGAAAAATATTTTTTTCCTATCAAATTTCAAAACCAACATTTTACAAAGTTTACACGAGGTACAAATATGAATATTAATAATACAATAATGTACATCTAATTGCAATGAGGTTGACAACTGTTTTGAGAGAATATGAAACCGATAAAACTCTGAATATTTTATTGTCGTCATAATTGCATTGATATTTCATTATGCAAATACTAAACCTTTCGTCACAGAGATATAACTATGACTAAGTTCAACATTCTGTCATTTGTGTAATAAAACCTTGAAAATATCTTAATCTAACAACCTTTTATCAAGTATAAGTACTAACATCCATCAGAGCATACAAGTTTAAGCTAGACAAAGTAGTTGAAAAGATGAACAAGATATTTGAAGTTGGGGAGTTGTCGAGGAGAATAAAACTTAACATCCTGTCTTTTCTATGACATTAGATGTGCTATGCCGTACACAGTTTTCCCTTTGTTGAAGTGTATGCTCTCACAGTTTTATGTCCTCCGACTCAACTATTGATTGCAAATCCTCAACAAGTGGTTGAAGTGCTCATTCTCAAACTGTTTGAATTCATTAGCGTCTAGATGGAGACATTTCATGCATATTCCGGACGAAAAGTAATCGCTTTATACCGGTATGATAACAATAAGTATGTTCTGCAGAGTAGTCCAACGGGATAAGGGGCGTTACTTTTGAACGGAACATGAGGGTATTTGAATAGGAGCAGATGTTTTGCTTTATAACAGACCACCAACTTACACCGTAAAAAGTGTTCAACGTACAGAGAGCATGACACTCATTCTATCCGAGGAATAGGAATTAACTTCCCATACCAACTGGACTTGGCTGCATATTGAAACATCCCACACACCAGCCAAACGGTAACCCGTGTTGAAATCCCTTTGCAAGGCAGTCGTATCCCTCAACAAGAGAAACTGTTACCAATTTCTATTCCACAGGTACCACCTGGGGGTTTCAATTTATTAATGATCATCATCACGGCCGTCAACCGAGAGATTGGTCGGTTAATCTACCTGAGTATGCGGCTATATGGGCGGTTGGTCTGTTAATCGGGTCGGTTATACGTCTGTAAAGAGTAAAACGCATAATTTAATGTTAAACTCAGTTTACAGATTTTTGGCATTTTATAAGAACCAAATCAAAAAAAGAAAAGTGTCTGCCAAAATGATATCTATCATAGAACATTTTCCACCTGTAAAAACATTTCATAGTCTGCGCAGTTTTCAGTAAAACTAAAAGGCGTCGCGCAAGTATGTGGTATTTATGCTTATACGCATAGCAATTTTTTAGATAAAAGGCGAAAAAAACATTTTTAGATATCATTTAAAGGATACAAAATAGTACTTTGGTTCTAAAAAATAAATTGACATTAGTAAATATTTCATAATTGTAATATAACGTGAGTAATACCACATTTTAGTGAATATTAGGGGAATAAAGTCTGTTAATGGGTTGGACAATTTAAATTGTGTCAGTTAAGAGTTATTTAGCCACGACAATAGTTTTGCTACCTTTATATTTTCCCATTGAAAAAGTTAAGAATGAGATGTACTTGAGTAGAAAAAATGACAATACGGTGCAACAGTATCCTTCTAGTAAGAAAATTTTTATTTTGACTTTCTTTGCATTTTATTGAAGGGCGTGTCACTTCAATATAGCGTGATATGGATTGGCTGCTGGAATATGCATGAATTTATTATTAACGTTTTCAATCAGCCTTATTTTTTGTGTCTGTTCAAAGTCTGCAACATCTATGAATCTGTCATGTGTTGCAATGCAGCTGGTTAAATTCCATGCGTTTTCCGATATGCATTGTCTTTTCTACCTTGTCATCATTGTCATTGTCTGCCTAAGGAAATGTCTGTACCAAGTAAGGAATATGACCGTTGTTTTCTATTCGTTGGTAAGACGTGGTTCTAAACAATAAATTGACATTAGTAAGTTTGTTTTCTATCAATATTTATGTTGGGTGCTGATTAACTTTAATGTGTAACAAAAAGAATATTTTATTTTCCTGGAAATCACAACAAATGCATAATATTAATTTTATTTTTCGAGTAATGATGTATTTTCATTGTAAATTATTTAGCCGACTAGCAGTCCGCAAACATGCTTGTTTTTGTATCGAATGACCTTCAAGGTGGTGTAGAGAAAGGTTGATGTTGAAAGGTTTGTTTAATTTGTATCCAATTATAAACATTTTTCAGTCCATTTGATAAAAAATGTTTAAAAGAGAAGACTAAATTTTGTATATATATATATTACACAAGGTATTATAATTTTAAATGTTTAATTTGAATCTTCCGCGATGTTTAATCATTACAAAGTAACTACCAATCGATATATCAGTACTTTATGGAAATTTTATGTGATACTCCAATGCAGTAATATCAGATACATCATTGGCAACATATCACCATATTTTATTGTATTGTAAATTAAGATCAAGTAACAACTTGAAGTCATTAGATCACACTTTTAATTTTCAAAAATGACTTAAATAAACAAAAAGCAATATGTACGACCAATAAATATCTGCACACACATTGAAAGTACCATGCATATGTTTAATGTTGATCTATTATGACTGAATGTGTAATTTGAATGTATGAGTATACAGAATTTTCCATGTCTTTTTATAATGAATGCATATTTGTGATACATGTGGTAAAAACTTCAAAAGAAATTGGAATTTAACAAGACACATTAAGATACACGATTCAGCAGATAACCAGCCAAATCATGTTAACCAGTTGTATAAATGTGAGAAAAATAATTATGGAGCGGAATTTACAACAAATACTGGTCTGTGGCTACACAAAAGGAGGGAACACCTGCATAAAGTTGAGATTGGGCTAAATATGGTATGTAGTAAGTGTTGAAATCCGGAATGTTGACACATAAAACACATGAAGTTTGCAGTTTGACGCATATTTTTTAATAATATATACTAATATATCAAAGATCAAATAACTGATAGTATCAAAAGGGTAATAAGGGATACCATTCGGACAACTTAACTGGTGTTAATTGCATTGAGTGACTATTATCCCACAAAAAATGTACTCTTGAGTTTGACAAAATGTCTATTCTATATATTTTTTCACATTTGCAGTATTCATAGTATATCTGTTCAAAGATCAATTCAAATTATGCAATTTTATATGTAGCGTCCACTGTGTGACAAGATATTTGGACAGAAAATCCATCTTCAGGCACATATGGCATGTCACTCGGAGGAAAGAAAGTTTTTATGTACTCGTTGTAGTAAATCAATGAAGCACCAAAGGAGCTTAAAAAGACATTATGTGAGATGTAAAGGTGAGTGAAAATTGTGTAAGATACATGAAAAATCTGGTAAACAATGACGAAAACAAACTATAAAAAACTATATGTTGTATTCAAAAACATATATTATATATAATATTATATAAATAGATATATATAATATTATATAAATATATATATATATATATATATATATATATATATATATATATGACACAATGATAAGTACATAATCATGTATCATATGTTTTAGGTATTCAAGAGAACAAACAGTTCGCATGCAGTGTTTGTAAGAAGGGAGTTTCAATCCAAGAAATATCTCAAGGTACATTGCAAATATGCACACCAAAAACCTGTCTTCCAATGTGACAGTTGTGGCGAAATCTTTAAGTGGCAATCAAACTACACCCGCCATACAGCTAAAGGTGGATGTCCTGGAAAGAAGACGGATAATACAGTTAATGCAGTTTAATTTCACTAAATGACATTTTTGTTATTTTATATCTCATATTTATTTGTTATTATACAGATTAATGTTAAGTATTTACATTATTATTTTGATATGCATATAGTTTACCTTCTTAAAAATAAGGAGGATTGTTATATAAATTTATGTTACATGTAAGCAATAAATTAAAATTTACACTTTCAAAATAGTAACTTTCTGAAAAATACATTCATTCAAATTTATCCCTAGTCTTTTAGAGGGGAGAAGTTTTGATTCATCTACTTTGTAATGTTGCCTAACTGGTTGTACTCCACGTCCTGGATCATCCAGTTTGAATATCTTTGCTCCTTTGAGTGTATCTTTCTGTTTCATAGAACAGGGTCTATCGAAAAAATGGTCCCTAAAAAGAAAACAAAAATATTTTGACAAAAAGTTTCGGGTTGTTCTTAATTTTCTTATACAGTTTGATTGTGATGAGTTTCCACATTAAGTTCTTCCAAATTTGTATAAACCGATAAATGTATTCCAATATGGTATGAAAAGCAATCAAAGCTTTAAACATTTTCAAGTAGTAAATTATATATAGTTTACTGAGTTATCATATCCCCGGCGTTAAGACAGAACATGTGCCTAAAACAAGCTTAAATCTCCAAATAAAAGAACAGAAAGTCATAAGTGTTAAAGAGGCCATCAAGTGGCAATCACCATTTCTTTATTTTGTTTTAATAGCTCATATATTAAACATACATAGGGACAACTTTGGATATCATTTCAGTTGATGGCTCTTGAAGAGCAGTATCATATATTTCTTGCTCAATAATTGTTGGTCTATAGACTGGCGCTGCTGCAATTCTCATATGGAATGACCTAAAAGTGAACTGAACATCATAATTATGGTGCTTAAATGTGCCACATGCATATACAGCAATAAAACATACAAATCATTAGGTTAACTTAAATTCGGATGGTAAAGTTACTCAAACATTTTTAATTTAATCGCACAACGATTTGAAATACATCTGTTCATACAAAAAAATGTCGTTGTTTAGTTAGAATTTAATCAATCACATGATTAAGTGCATTCATACTGTTATCGGGGATGTTTTACTCTTTCTGTTTAGCATTATGTATAGCTGTCTGTTGAGTTCTGATTGTTGAAAACAACATAGGGCCTGTGGATTTGTATTTCGTTTCATTTGGTGATGTGCTGGGACATTTCTAACATTTCCCAAAATGTGTTTTACTATTAATCGATTTTGCAACAATGTATATGTTTCGTGTTCTTATTTATTTTTCAGAACTACGATACTAAAATTACTATTTTTGTAAGATTCATATATATATATATATATATATATATATATATATATATATATATATATACACTTTTATGGTTTTTTTTAAAGTAAAATGATTTCAAGTAGATTCAATTTGAGACGTTTTGTTCTTCAAGAAATACTAATAATGAATTGAAATAAGTGAAATGAAACAGAACTTTACCTGTCTGGGTCATGTTGTACTGTATGAAGTGCGCACACTGTTTTCATATGCATTAAAGCTCCCTGTGCTGTGAGTACTCCATTGCGCGCCCAGTTATCCATGTAGTCTATATCTGACATGAAAGTTTCTGATACTAAGCTAGATATTGCCCTCCAATTGTAGGTCCTACTTAGTGTTAACCTGTACATTTAGATATGAGCATCAACGCTGCAGATTATTGACTCGTATGTAACTCGTGATATACCTTTTATATACTGCGTTTTTGGTGGAAACGTGTTGAAGTTGACATATTTCAGCAACCAGTCTTTAAGTGAAATGGAGTATCTAAGTCTTTGTTCAGATGATAACCCTTGTTCATCTTCTGCACGGATCCAGTTGCGAATTAGCTGACAAAATATCGCTTCTTCCTTGTAGATTTCATCACCATTTTCATCCTTGAAATCAAGCCTTATCATTTGCACATCTTTTGTAAAAAACGATCTTGTATATGCTTCATTTTGCTGATCGAGAACTTTTCCGTCCGCTTGTATTTCTAGAAGAGACATGTTTAAATTTGAATCCTTTCTACATGCTACTTTTGACCATGCATCCTTTCTTATTCCAGTTATTTTGTCTTACATAGAGCCTATATTATTACGAATATGTGTGCCATAAATGACTTTGATTTCTGTTTGATTCCTCCTTCTAGAAAATTCGGGATGGTAGTACGGGGAAATTTTTCCAATGTTTTCTATATCTAGAGGATCGGATACAACACAACTTTTAACACATTCCTGTAATCTAATGTTGTAAAGATATCCAGCATATGAAGCAGCAATAGCTTCCTTCGGATAGTTCTTTTTCATCGATTCTTTTGCACAAAGTTCATGTAGAGAGGGAATGGATTTCTTTCTCTGTCTTGTTGGACATTTTATTATCGTACCTTTGCTAATGTAATCCTTAAGTTGCTTAAATTTTTCCTCTTTAGAAACGCCAATCAGGATCAAGCGTGACTTTGTGCCATTTCTTTTCCCTAAGTATTGCATGATAGCTTTCAGTTCATAGTCTCTAAGTTCGTCTAATTTAGATGGAGCTTTGAAGAACTCTACTATGCATAGCTCTTTTATTTCCTTTGCTCTCGAAGACAATTTTGATGGAGGTTTGTCATTGTCACTGTAAAATACATCAACAGATTCATTGATTATTAACGCTATCAGACGTTGGTTAAGTCTAAGTTTGAAGACCGTCGTGCTTTCTTCTGTCCAACATAAAAAAATACATTCCTGGCATCCCATTGAACGCATTTCAAGCATAGTCTGACGTATGTAACGTGTAGGTATTTTATAATACACAGGAGTGTTAAATTTGTACGAACTGTACGGACATTTACATTCTACTGCATAGACAATGTTTTCAATCACACCAGATAAATTTTCGGAACGTCGAAAACTGCCGTCTGGGGCCACACCTATGATGTTTCGATCATTGGCCGTAATCATGTGTATACCTTCCTCATAGTATGTAAGCTATGGGAATAAAGCGGGCATAACTTTTGAATGCAATGTCGCCAGCGCATGAATTTCATTTTCTGTACCATGTTTCATCGCCATCTGCTGTTGCTCTGTTGGCACTGGTTTCTCATTTTGATTGTTTATGTACTGGAATGTTTCCTTATGAGTTATAAGTCCATCAATACCTAATGCATTGTTTGCTGTACTCCCGGTTACCTTGACAGTCTGCCGTAGGTTTAGCCATTCGTCTGTTCTTTGTTTTAACAAATGAGGTGGCATATGTTCTGTTTCCGGTAAACTTAATGAAGAATGTACCTGCCGTGGTGCTTTCAGTGTTACAAAGAATTTTGTCTTGGACAAGTTCACCATTTTGTCAGTGCCATAACCCGACGAATTCTGAAGTAAGGCAATAAATCCAAATAAGGCATCATATGTTGCTAATGCACCTTTGATAGTAGATTTGGCACGGTAAATTGCAGTCTTAATGCTATCAATGAATAACAATAGTTCTTTCCAGGTTCACTCGCTGCCTTTGTCGTGAATTTGTCGAGGGCATATTGCTGCTTTACAATTAGTAGGCGAAGGTCACGGATTGATTTGCTCACTCTATGTGACACATCTAACAGGGCATTTTTAATATAATTGTCTGATTTTGAGGAGCCTTGTAAGTATTCAGTGACCTTGGAGATACTTTCTTTTGATCTCGTGTACTGCTCATGTAGTTGGTGTAATGGTTCGGGTCCATATCCGAGGAGATCTATGTCGCCGGCTTCGTCCGTGAGTCCGGATGCCAATTTCTTGCCATCAAATGTTAACACATAGGAGTTCTTTCTTTGCGATGACATCAGTTGTATCATTTCATGAAAAATACCAGGTCCTTTTATATCAGGAATTTTTAAACCTATCGGGTGTTCATTAATGTGAATATGGCTAGGCAGGGCAAAGTTTATTCTTGCTGTCGCTGGATTTAAGTAACCTGTTAGATTACTCTGGCCTGCATGTTTGTACCCAGACAAAAACCCGTTGAAATCGGCCGTGGAACAAAATTTATTCCTAGCCACCAGAATTGCTGTGTTTCTTTGAACGGATACCTCATTTTGGAAGTAGAGTCTGTCGACCAGAATCTCAATAGGTCACAAAATAGAAGGAAAACAGCTGTTTTTGAAATCGAATTTAGCCGTGGAGATTAGAGTGAATATCATGAGCAGATAAATAATAAGATTGTTCTTACGGAATGCGTGGACAACATCAGGAAGCATTTCTTGTAACTTGTGAATCCATCCATCATTATCATCATCATCATCATCATCATCATCATCATCATCATCATCATCATCATCATCATCATCATCAAAAACATTATCGTCGTAGTCATCAGCATCAGTATTATCTTCATCATCGTTATCGTCTTCTTCATTATCATCATCTTCAATAAGTTTAAGAACGGTGTCATCAGCTGGAACATCAGATGAGTTAGCTTTTGATTTCTTCCATTTATATTTTCTGTTACTGTGATTTTTATTTTTTCTCTTCATGCTAAAATTAAAACAAAAACATTTTACTTACTGATGTTTAGTTACATTACGAAGTTTATCTCTGATTAAAATACTGGTTACCAATGTAGATGACAAATTGGTGTCATTCATAATAATGAAACAGAATCCACATGATATATATGCGACCATTCTTGGATGAAATTAATATTACTTTAATATTACACTTTTTGAAACCATTTTTATCAATTTTCAATTTCCATTGTCTAAATTTATGTTTCATTGTTCATGTGTTGATTCCGTATATTTTAGCCACTCGTCTTGAGCCTACCCATTTGTTCCGATAACACTCCATTTAGCAATCAAATTATACTTTTATTGCCATTCATCACTCTTAACAGACCAATTAATAGACCGGGTTTTATACATCCGACCCATTAACATACCAGGTTTTTAATAAAAAATGATTTATGTCACCAAAATACAGATTTTCGTGTAGATTTTTCACATAATGATATTAATATGGTTAACAAACATAATGCCTGTATTTTTTCGATGTTCAAAATATTGCATGCAAGTAAATTCAACCATCTTGTCATTTTGTGTACATTTTGTGTGTGT